TTCTACTGCCATTTGCGACAGTTACTGTTGCACATGCCACCATGTGTAACTGCACTTCCAGCATGCTACTTGGAGCTTGGGTATCATGTAAAAGTCTGCTGCTCAAACAAGCCTGCGCATAATCATTTACCTTTGGGTACTGGGCAGAAACTTGTTTTTTTCCTCCAAGGTTCGTCACGCATAGAATAGATATGTCAATATAATACGTCGATTCTTTGGGAACAAGTCAATATTCGGGAAAATAAAATGTTGCAGAAGGGGCAAAAACCGTGGTGTAGACTGGAAAATGTTTCCCTCTCCCGTCTGAATTGTATTGAACTTGCATTGCATGGTCTCTGTGCCGGCATGCGCAGTTACCCAAATTTAGTTTTTACAGTTCCACTGAACCTCCTGAATGAAAACCTCGTTTACTACAAACCCACAGCAGAGCTTCTTTGCCAAGGTGCAGCCTCGCCAGGATGTCAGCGTGGCAGCACATGAAAAGAAAAGTCAATACTGCATCACGTGTGAGGGACATTAAAAAAATATGTGGAAAAGAAGCGTTTCTAAACCCGTGTTTGGTGCATCGGAACCTAAGAAGAGGCTCACCAATCAACGGGCAACATACAGAGACCACGAAGAAAGCCCGATGATGAGGCAGTCAAACGCGCGTTGTAATTGGGCAAGATTGGGAGAGGGGAGGGGGGTGGAGAATCTGGACGCATACGGAGGGTAAACAAATGCACGAGGTGGTGCAAAGAGCAGACGAACTTGTAGGCCGTACTGCTTGTGGTGCTTGGGGTTTCAGTGGCTCAATTAGCAAAACATTGGCAGCATACTAAGGTTGCGAACTTCGATTGGGAAAACTGGGAAAACCGCTGCATAAAATCTCAGGCTTTGATGTCTACTTTGATGGTACACTTGGGAAATAATATTGTTACGAATAACAGTTGCTGAGGCTATGAAAATTGATGCAAACTAACCGTTTAATGGGGCGAACTTGTGCGCCAAACATAATAGACAAAGGCTAGCGTCGCAGGCGTCAACGGCTGCGAAACAGCAGAATCGAACGCTATGGCGAGACTGCCTTCGGCTCGCCACGTGGAGACGCGTGGGCTTCTGGAACAATCGGCGTAGAAGGTTCGGCGTGTAGAACATCCTAACTTCGATTAAGCAACAGGGTTCTCGAATTTAGTGGAACGCGGCACTACAGAAACAACAAAAAGGCGTATCCGTGGCGAGGCATCGAACCTCGGTTCTCTGCGTGAGAGCCAAGCACGATAACCGTATACGTCCACGGGCGCGTTGCCTACTTGGCCAGCTGCGCGCGCGGCATTATGTTACAAGTAACGGATTACTTGTAATCCGTTACTTTTTTAAGTATAAGTGTAATCGTCACGTTACTTTTTTGAGGCGTTAATTTGTAATGTAGTTTTGTCCCAAATATTGGTAACGGATTAATTTAATTACTCTTTACTTTTTAAAAATATTAACATAATACGGAAACTGGAGCATTATGAGCAGGCAATTCAACAACATAAAGATAGAAAGTTCGACAAAATAGGAAACACGGTGAAGAGGAGAATAAATGAAAAAAAACAGGATTTTTTGTATGACCCGTCACTAGAATTACTAGAAACACGCTTAAAAGGCGCGTTTCAAAAGGAATTTTTCGCAGATCGGTTTTTTTACTCCGAACCTCCTAACGCAAGTAAACACTGCTACTGAGCATGCGCACCGCTAGCTTTGTCTGCATAATTCTAGGTATCATGTCCGGTTGTCGTAAGCTGGCGGGATGGCGGGTGTGATTGCATTTTTCCCGTCCTTGTCAGCTCGCAGGTTAATGGAGCGCACCCTTATTCTTTCTCTGAGATGCACTATTTTATTTTTACGAGGACTACCATCATCCGGGCGTATGAGAATTGGAAAATAGTGTTGCAGAACATTTCTGAAAACAACAAAATTGTTTCCATTGACTTAAAACGAAAGAGACACACGAGAGGACGAAATTAACAGACGACACAGAAAGCTGTGTCTTCTGTTTTGTCCTCTTGTGTTTCTTTTGTTTTAAGTCAATGTAGATCACCAACACGCTCAAGTCTTTAATTGTTTCCATTGTTTTCTTGATAAGTGTACGAGAAAAGTAACTTGAAAGCAAATATTAACGTAAAGAGTAAAGTAATCCGTTCCATTTAAGTGAAGGTAATTCTTAACGGTAATCCATACCATTTCAGGCTCGGTCATTCGTAATTGCAATTCGTTACGTTTTTCAAATAACAGGCACAAGTCTGTCTATTGGTCACCACCTAAAGGCCCGTTCACACACTTGCGCTTGAGTCCGAGCGACTGAGACAAGACCGGCTTTTGAGCCTTTTGTGACGACTTACGACCGGCTTCGTTGCTGCGTATCCGGCTGTAAGGTGTGGCTTAAAAACCGGTCTTGTCTCAAAGCCGGTTCACACACTGTCAAGCGAGTAGGACCAACTGTAGTGCTGTTTTGTTTACTACAAATAAGTAGAAGAAACCTGACTTCTAAGACATCGCTGGTTTTTTCCTTACATGCGCCCTCTCTTTATGCTCTTGTTTGCATTGTGCTGTTGCTGCTAATATGAACCCGAAGTGCATTAAGCGACGCGACGCGACCGACGTGATGATAACAGGCGGTACCAAGGAGGGCGGAGGAAGGAGAGCCCTAAGAGGACGGCATCCTGATCATGTTACGTCACGGCTCGTTTATTGAGTGAGTTGCAATACGGGAATTGTGAAAGGCGTTTTATATGGTTTATTCTTCAAATCGCGAGCTGAAATTTAATGCAGGCTTCCACTAAAAGGTCCTAAGTTTTTTATTCTTTTTATTTTGATTTATAAAATTATTAAATATTCATTTTAACCTGGAGAGGCTATTTAAAGGCGTGAGCGTTTGGCCAACCGTGGGAAGCCCACACCAGCAACGCTTTAGGTAGCGCACGTAACCAATAGTCATTGAAAGGGCGAGAACGGCAGGCCGTTTATTTCGTGTCTTTCGAATGCACCCGCGGTCTCCCCAGGACACGCTCGTTGCCTCCAGCCGCGCTTCTGCTGCGCGTGCACACTTGAGACGCAAAAGACGCCGAAGGGGTTATCAAAAGTAGAAAGTTTATGTTGGAACATAGCCTCCTATATACCGACAAAGCCTGGCAGATCGCCACGAGAAGCGGCCGCCGAAATGGAGAAGGTGGCGCGGCAGACAACGGATGAAAGGAAAGCCACGTAACTGCCGCCCCGCTGCGGCGAGACGCCGAAACACACTTCTCCCGAGTGAACAAGTGTGTTTCGGGTCTTCGCCTCTGCAAAAGCTGTGCGCTGACGTCCAAATTCTCCGATAAATGGCTCTTTGATGCTCTGTGCTACCAGATCTTCGCGCTCCAAATCTGCGACCGGGCACTCTATGGCACCCTCGTCGAACTGCCAGGCTTTGTGAATATAGAGGAGGCTATGGTTGGAAGCAGGGCAAGGGACCTCACTGCCGTTCTAATCTTGCCAGCGATTATGAAGAGATGGTGACCGTTTGGTCGATTGTGGAAAATTACCATAGCGACGCATTTCGGTCACGTACATCGCCAATGGCCGCGAAGGCGCTGTGTATTTCCTCCCGCCCTTTAAATGTAGTAGTCACGAGCTATTTAAAATCTACCGTGCACAGTATAAATGTCTTTGCGATATATCTTAAAATAAATTTAAACACACACACACACACACACCTGAAATATTCTGAAGTTTTGAAAACAAAATAATCTGCTTCCTTGGCTCAGGACCGCCGCAGTTGAAGCGAGGCATTTTAAACACTAAACACACATTGAAACGTCAAACAGCAGTTGTTGCTGTTGTTTTACACAATATCAGTGCTTATGTCTAAAATCATTTTTGTGGATGCAAGTTCTTTGACAGCCGACACCTGTGCACTGCCGCAATAATCTGTCGGCTTTGTTTTTTTTTGTTTTTTTTTTACCGATATTGTGATTCTGCGACAATTTTGATGGTCTGATAAAAAGTTTGAACTGTACTTTCTGTGACCTAACTGAAAAATTTCTCAGTCTTTAAAGTTTACTTTTAATGTAGATGAGTTACGAAGGTTAGGTCTAGACTCTCGAGGTGTCTAGTAACCGTCGTTGTCATAATTAAAGCATCTAAACAAATTTTTTTGAAAATTAAACATTCTATACACTGAAAATCCGAATGTTTATATATTTTCATTATAGCATTCCTGCTTGAAGTAATAGTGTTACTATAAAGCAAATAACCTTAGTGCAGTGTTTTAGAAGATTAAAAAATATTCCTATAGTAAACTGTGTGATAAAAATTCGTCTCCATTGTAATCTTTAATATTGAAGGCTGCAAAAACGAAGATACCAAAAATTACATATCGTGCTATTTTCTCAAATAGTGCCAAAATGATTTTCTGTAGCTGAGAATGCACACGGTCCAGTGTTTTCGTCTTTTTGTTTCTGGTCGTCACTACTTCCTGAATTGTACGTTATATAAACATTTTTTAGTCCCAAAGAAGATTCTTCTATGAACTGCAGCTCTCACAACAACAAAAGAAAAGTTCTATGTAGGTTTCACTCCCAACAATATAAACGCACAATGTATGCCTTCCTAAAAAATTAAAATAAAAAAAAATAATAAAACATCCATTTTCTCATTTTCTCAGTTCTGAAAACAAACCCCAGGGATAATAATGCCATCTCTAAAAAAAATGATATGAGGAAAAAAGGCAGAAAGTGGGAAAACGCAAACCAATAAAACAGCACAGTCATCTGGTAAGCCAACACCCAAGGGCCAAGGGGAGCCCGCCAGCCCAGCCGGTCCACTGTGTACTCTCCCCTAATGAGACACCTCCGAGAGACAAGACACAGCTGCAGCTGCTCCCAAAGAATCCGGCCTGGCAGACTTCCACGTCCTCCCTCCTCTCTCCCCTCTCCCTCCTCCCTCCCCATCCCACCCTCTTCCATAAAGAAACCCCTCACCGGACTGCCGGAAAGAAGAACAGATCGCACCAGCCGTCCGAACGGGCCGACTGCACACCACACCGAGGCCACCCCACCCCTCCAGTCCCGGCGCATCCCCAGCTCAGACTTTCATCCGAAAAGTGGCTGCACTGTTCTTCCTGGTCGAGGATGACCGTTGGACAGTCCATAGCTACCTTCTTGGTGCTCGCGGCGGCGACGGCAACGACATGGGCTGTGGAAGAAGGCCAGCTACGGCTGGTGATCGGCACAAGGGTGACGACTCACGAAGGCCGGGGCAACGTGGAGATCTACCACGCGAACCGCTGGGGTGCCATCTGCGACGACGAGTGGGACTCGAGGGAGGCCGACGTGGTGTGCAGGATGATGGGCTACGCCAACGCGTCCAGGGTCACGACCAACGGCCACTTCGGCAAGGCCCTCCGTGAGTTGAAAGCTTCTGCTCGTCTCCCTCCGCGCGTCGCGAACTTCGCCCATTTGATGGTGTACATAGGGTCTTGAAACTTTGCGGAAAGTGTTGACAGCTCGCGGACTTCCGGGGCCAAAAGGAACCGAATGGTTTGTTTTTGTTTTCAAGAAGTTAGATCCGCCAGAAAAAGAGCATTCCTCGTTTAATGAGGAGATGAGAGATATTTCACGGTGCGCAATCAGGATCCTTACCACGTGCACACTTCGGTCAAACGAACATAGGTAATGGGGCAGTGTTCAGGTTCATTAAAAGATCGAGGTGATATAATCCGGCGAAATTTGTCCGCGTTTGCCAAACTTTCTTTTCGAAGCTTGGACTCCTAAACATGCATAAGCTTGTTCTAAGAAACTGGAAGTGTTTTCTTCGAGGATAAAGACCTTTGTGTTTCACACGTAAGGTTTTCGAGTTTTTCCGCTAGCTCTCCTTATTGTACGGTGAGAGCGATGAGAAACAATCACACACTAGACACTCAGAAAGACAAGCACACGCGCCTTATTGGTGCATTACATATTTATAAAATGCGCATCGTAAAGGTTCTAATCTTTCAACTTCAAGATGAGAGAGTAGATTTTGGCGGACAGATATTGCGGTCACAAGAAGGTGTGCTGCATTGTATAATGTTTGGAAACGCAGACCACCTGATTAGTCTCAGGTAATATGCGAAAAACCAAGACAATTAATCTAGATTTGAGCTCCCGTATGTCACCTTTTAAATTCACATTCTCGGTGAATAAGAAGTTGATCGGGCAGGTTTACAAAATGCCGGTAAATTGTATATTATTTTTTTCGATTTGAACGGCATTCGAAACCAGCAGAAAATACCTTAATCCCAAGACAAAACTTAACCAATCCCCAGTTGTTTTAGTTTGTGTAGGTAGGAAGGGGGGGGGGGGGGGGGGGGCAGTAGCATTATTTGTGGTGACAAGCAACCGTTAATCAATATATTTTTATATAAAAAAAAACAATATATATTATATATGAAACTTAGTATCACGTTCTGGGTTCTTGTTCTCAAAAGAAAAGGTAAAACGGTGCCTATGCTCACAATAAACTGTGTTCCTGGAAACGAATGCCATACTTAAACTAGTGAACGAGGCCAACTTGAATTATCTTTTAATAAGCGGTGGTACTTTTTGGTATTTAGTTCTAATACCTTCCCTAAAAGGCCACAAGGATGTACACTTCGCATATGCTTATACGTAATATTTTAGAAAGAAATGTTCAGCAATAAGGCGATTACTTGCAAACGTTCTAGAGTTGCATAATTCAAGTCTACAAGAACGTAATTGTGTTTCGTTGCTTTCAAAAAAAACACTGATGTAACTCAATGAAACATCTGCCAATAATAGCCATCGTCGTTTTCAAATGACTTGTTTATGTTTTGGCAAAGTGTGTTGACACACAAAATCGGCGACTTCTAAGGTAGTGTCGCAAAACTGTTCGTGCGGAGTCGAACATTTGTAAACGCTTTCTTTGTTTGTATTAACTGTGTGTGCAAAAAGCAAACAGTTTTTGAGTGCCATAATGTATCACGGATTTCATGTCACACTTACAAGACATCTGATTCTTGAAAAAGCTGTCCGCATGATGCAAAGAAAACTTATATTAAGGAACACGCACCTCTTTGATTAGATTATGTCAAGAAAATAACTGTGTCTAATGGCACCGGCCTTCCAACTAAAAGGTAGCCTGATAAAAACCGTTTTTTCTCCCATTAATTAAAAGTTCCCGGACAAGAACCCCTATCCACGATGCGCTTGCCTTGTGAAGTTTTTGGTAGGAAATGGTGCAGCCGCACTTCATAGATATTTTGCTAAATTACGCAATCACCAAAGAATATGACGCGAACGTACTTACACACGTAGCGCATGCTGGCGTCTCGTGACTTGTGCAATAGCATTTCTAATGTGAAAACATGAAACAATTGTCACCTTGCACGTAGACCTGTCAGAGCGTTATAAGTGTTCTTCACTACACTACTGGTCACGAAACTTCGGCCAAGGTTTGGTACAGGGTGAAAATCTACCGCAAAAAACGCGACTGTCCAGAAAAGGGCATTTTCGTTTGCCCCCCCCCCCCCCCCCCCGCCCCCTCTCAATCAGCCACCGCATATTCGCAATTTCAAGCAGTTTTTAACAAACAATTTCTCGTACAACGACTTTTTTTGGCACCTGTAAATGGTCACTGTATGCAAGCACCGGTCATTATTTATATCCAAAAAAAGAAAAACTTAAAACTAAGCTTTCTTTTTTTTTTTTTAGCCAAACGGTGTTTTTTGCAAGCAAAAAAGAGCCGGGCAATTGAGCGCACACGTTCAGAGTTCCTCTACTTAACACTTCTCGCAACACTCAAGTTAACGGCGATAGCGCTATTGATAATTCATTTTGAGGCTATAAAAGGTATTACTTATAATATTTCGGAGATTGTCACAAAAGAGAAAGTTCGATCAGTTGACTGTGGTTACAGAGCTGAAGACGCTTACATTAATGAGAAACGCTGTCAGTGCGATGACAGTTTACCCGAGCCCTGTGGCTCGTTTAGGGAGGGTTCGAAATTCCGATAGGCCCGCTCATGCGCTTGCGTTTGAGTAAACCGACTGAGACAGGACCGGTTTTTTAGCTTCTTGTGACGGCTTACGATCAGCTCCGCAGCAGCGCATCCGGTCGAATGAGGCTTAAAAATCGGTCTTGTATCATTCGGTCGTACTCGCTTGCAAGTGTGTGAACGGGCCTACCCTTTCTGGTTGCCAGACTCCCAGCGGTGCTGGCTAGATTGACGGCCCTTACACCCCTTGTCGACGCTAGCGCCGCCCGTGGTCGCGTCCCAAGCTCTCCCATGCCTTGCGTATATATACGTTTCGTGACCAGTAGCGTAGGGCTCTGCCCATATTTTAGCCATTTACTTCGCATATTTATTAAAAATAAAGCGACCGAGCGCAGCACGTCACATACGATCCCAACATTCTTCTTGGTACTGGGGTAATTTGTCAAAAAGTTTAGATGCAGTACTGTTTTACTAGACACCCCCCCCCCCCCCCCCCCCCCAAATGCATTGCAAACAACCATTTCCACGTAGACCAAATAGTTTCTGCTATAATTGTTGTAAGTGTTAAAAAAGAATGGAAATCGGAAAGATAGTGGCCATATCTTAAATGGGAGTGTTGTGATTCCAGGGTTAACCTACAGCACAGCTTTCTGGGTAGAAACACCGTGTCCACTTGATCCTCGCAGCGTTTTTATTCTTGTCGCGCGTAACGTTTCGTCTACAAAGATAGTACACATCTAAGTGAGTTTTGATATCACGGTTCAGACGTCTCGACTCTTATTAAAGGCCAGGGAAGGAAATCCTCTTAGCGCTACCATCTCCCAACCTGCGAGGGGAGCCAATTTGGAGCAAGGCAAAAAGGTGTAGAGGATATGAGAAAGGTGGAGGCGGGCAAAGGTGAAAAGCGTGGAGTGCACGTCTGCCTTTAATTTAGAACACCTTTGTATTCCCCACACACACACACACACACACACGCACACACGCACACGCACGCACGCACGCACGCACACACGCGCGCACACACACACACACACACGCACGCACACACACACGCACGCACACACACGCGCACACACCCACGCACGCACGCACGCGCACACACACACACGCACGCACACACACACACACGCACGCACACACGCACGCACGCACACACGTACGCACACACGCACGCACACACGCACACACGCACACACACACGCACGCACACACGCACACACACACACACACTAAAAATGCAACCCGTTAAAGAAAAGCGGACAATAAACCCTTTTCAAAAGTCCGCGCCAACGCCTCCGCCATTGCTTGCTCGCCTCCTCTGAGCATGTATTGCTCACGCCGTCAGCGTTCGTCGAGGACTCGGATCCAATCACGTGCGTCGTGTTCCGTATGAATGGATGGATGGATGCTAACGGTTGTACCCTTTATATCGGGCAGCAGCTTGCGCCACCTATAGCCTCCGGCAATGACGACTGCCAATGTTGCTTGATGGGCTTTTAAAAGTTTATGTTTCGTTGCATTAAAATGCCCATTGCGACTAAGGTCACTGCATAAGGTGGCAATACAATAACATTACTTGCGACCACCATTTGAAGTTCGCTGAAAATCAGTAAGGTAGCAGCTACGTCGCTAGAAATGAAGAATTGTTGCAGTTAAGCAGGTAAAATAAATAGTCAAAGTAGCGTGTTTTTTAGTTTTTAGAGCGCAGCTCTTAGGGGCCCGTTTCCAGTCTGAGCGGCGTCGGCGTCGCCGTCGGCGTAACCGCGCCCCTCCCTCTCCTCCTCCCCCTCCTTCTCCTCCTCCTCCCCTCATTGTGTAGTATGGTCCGGGTGGGTCACGTGACCTCGGGGGGAGGGGGTCACATGACCCGTTTCCAGCCTGTGCGGCGTCGGCGTTGGCGTCGGCGTCGCCCCTCCCCCTCCTTCTCCTCCCCCTCCGCTCCTCCTCCTCCCCCTCCTCCCCCGCCAAGGTCACGTGACCCCGGGGGGTGACCCCTCCCCCCGCCGAAGTCACGTGACGGCCCGCCCAAGGTCATGTGATCCCGTCCCCTCGAGGTCACGTGACCCCCGGGACCTCTGCCTTCCTCCCCCTCCTCCTCCTCCCCTCATTGTCTAGTATGGTCCGGGGGGTCACGTGACACCCCGCTGAAGTCATGTGACTTATTTTCAGGAAACAAGCTACACAAGTATTTGGAAGAGAGGGAAGGGGAGCAGGAGGGGAGAAGGACTAGCATGCATGATCACGAGGGAGGAGGAGGAATATACCTTCCACAATTGAAAACGAGCGTGTTGGTTAATATATACAAAACTTGAAAGTATAAAACAGAGAGGACGAGGACGTGAACAGGACATCTTTCAAAAGAAAGATGTCCTGTTCTCGTCCTCGTCCTCTCTGTTTTATACTTTCAAGTT